GTGTTCCCTCATGAGCTGTTTTCTTGTGAGAAAATCACTGTAACATATGCAGCGTGTGTTGCAGAATCGCTGCATATTATCTAATTTTGCTAACGATAAAGGCACAGTGCAGAAATAAATAGTTCTATCTCTTTGATTGTATAGGCTTGCTATTTTTTTGAATCCACATGATGACTCCTACTACTTACTGTTGTAACTACGCCCTGCATATTGCCCCATCATCTACTCCTTGAACTCCATCTAATCAGAGACTTCATCAAATTTGCTTTACCCATATAGTCATGATGGAAAGCTCGGGACGGCTTTGTGATGGAGCAAACATGTTGACAGTCATGCTGTGAGTGGCGCTGAACGGTGAAGAATCAGCATCAATTGGGCGGCCTTTTCATTCTTCGCCTTTTTTATGTTTGATGTTCACTTATAGATAGGTATACATAACAACATGTACTGTTATTCTTAGAAAAAAATTAGGTATAGATCGAGTCAGGATTGTGCGCGACTTGAACTTGACATTATCACAAAGAAATCGGAAGTTTGGAATACTTCAGTAAATTACAACTAATCCTAGACTCGCCGTAGTCGCTAAACCGTTCACTGAAAATGTTCCAGTTGAATAATGTTTTCACCAAAACTACTCATTATCTCTCGATGTGGCAAGTATAAAAACGGGCTCAAGCCGCGGTATGATTCATCTCAACACATCAAGGCTTATGGTATGTGGTTTGCAAGCGCTGTTTTCGGAAGTGCCTAAGCTTCGGTTACAGACTTGGTCAACGATGCCATGCTCTATCAACTGGATCCAACCGCCAAATTCGAAGGATCCAAGATATATGGAAGGACGCGGAAAACGGAAAGGACGGTCATTCAAAGTGATTCCCTTACCAACAGAAGTCGACCGCACAACAGCTGCTGGCAGAAGCCAATGGAAGGATGTGGGCAAGGTTTGCGACCAGTCCGCAGATGCAGTATTCGAATAATTAAGCGAAAGTTTCAGAATCAGCAAATTCGTCGAATGTTCATCTCCGGCGGAGTATCGATGTTCGCAGAGACGATGCGTCCATGCCTCGAAAAGCATCACGGCAGAGTTTTGTCATCGTTTTCTGAAGTTGTTAACAAAAGTATTCCTTTTTGGGACAAGGTGCATCGCCTAGAAAATTGTGCGGTATTACTATAATCATGATTACTGCTTTCAGTTAGCCGAAATTGATCGCGAAGGTTGGGCAGCCAGAGCTCGGGTCGAAAAGAAAAGTGATCATTACATCTACATTCGCAAAGTATAACCGACTTGTCCTTGTTAGAGATCAACCCGTCATTGTCTAGATCCA